CTCCTCTGGCATGTTGCTAGTCATGTGGTAGACCCCCTTGGAGGAGAAACAAGGGGCCAAAGAGTGGCCCTTGGACAACCACTTCCTGAAGCATTAACCCCTGGAGATAACATCTAGGCCTCAGTTGTGTTTCAGTTCCAGGCCCAGAGAAGCAGCAAAACCAGATTAGCAATGCCATGGCAGACATCAGGACCAGCTGCATTGACCAAGGACTCCCTGCCCTGGGACCGACCAATCAGTGGAGACCACGACCCTGAAAGGACACACCTGGAAACCGGATGAATATTCTATTAAGATCCTCCCCTGAAACCTCCTCTAAAATCCCCCCTTAAAAGCCCTAGGACAGAGAACCCTGTGCACTCTTCCTCTTTGGAGTAGGCCAGAGCCTTTCCTGCCCCTCCCGTTCCCCCCAAGCCTGTTACCTTTACCCTTCTCTTTCCTAAGCTCCAAGGGCCCCTTCTTTGCCTCTGTAACTTGTTTCCTAAGCCCATTTCTTTTATGACTCACTTCTCTACCTCTGTGACTTTCTAAATAAACTTTCTCTTATGGTTTGAGTCTTGACTCTGAATTCTTTCTTAACCAGAACTCAGGTACCAAGGTGCTGAACCAAAGTCGGGTCTGACTCCACCAGCCTAACACCTGGTGCCATTATCACTGCCAACAAAACAATGCCTCTCATCACTAAATTGTTTTGGAAAATACGGTTGTTTTTTTTGTTTTGTTTTGTTTTTCACAAAAACAGTATTCATGCTAGCATGTAAGAAGTTTATTTTTAAATAATTTTAGTAATCAAATGATTAAATAAATTCTTAATTATATATAATAGTTAAAATAAAAATTTAATTAAATAATGAAGTAAATTTTAAATGAATTAATACCTGTATAATTTCTCAGTTCTAATGTCTAAAATGGTATTGTTAATAGATGTAACCCACATAAACTAATGCTTTTTGGGATCCTCAATAATTTCTAAGAGTGGAAAGAGGTCCTCAGATGAAAAAGCCTGAGATGCTGCCCCAATGCATTTTGATCATGGAAGCCTTTCTCTGGAGAACACCTTGAGTACGTCCTATGGAACATACAGTAGGAAACACAATCTCATGCTGTGCTTATCAAATTATTCCTTTATGTGCCTCTTCTCCCTAGACATCCCTCAGTAAATTAATTTATAGTCTAATCAATGGGTTTCCTCTCAAACAGTAGTTTGTGCTCATGACCCTGGCAGTTGATGCATATATCTCCTCTGGCAAACACAGTCGATGCTGCCCTCACCCATTTAGAAGAGGGATTAACCTAGAGAACTATTTCACTGAGCAAATGTTACAAATAGTCCAGAGAAATGATGACACAGGTGAACATGCTTCTACACCAGATAATCCTCTGTTACGAGATACCGTGCCAGGGATAGGCCAAGATCATAAGAAATATGGCACCGGTTAGAATCACGGCCAGTTTGGTGAAGCATTCCGTTTCCAACAACAGAAGCACTGATTGAAGTACCGATGTTACAAATTACCCTTTTATAAAATGAGCCGGATGACAGCAATTTATTACTCCAAGTACTGACAATGTGTATTTGCAAAACTTTGTATACGAGCCAAAAATAACTTAAGGAACTAATTCATATTTCTACCATGCTTTTTAGAATATGGTAGTGTAAGGTCAGTTCTCTGCTTTTGGTGAGACTGGAAGCCTCAATTACAAAATTGAGTTATGAATCTCTTCTTCCTGCCAGGTGTCTGAGTGACTGGCCAGAAGCCTATTCTTAGATGGCTCTAAAATATCTTGGGAAAAAGTCAAAAGTGTAAAGTGCTGAACAACTATTCTGTGCAAAAAAACTCTCCCCAAGGAAACTCAGTCTTTACACAGAGCTGGCCTGGAGCACAGGCTGTTCAATCCTCTAATCTTCATTCTGGAATTTGCCCAAATAGCAGAAACCATTAAGTTTATTATGCAGCTTTGTAAGTGTCTAGTTTATAAAACCTTGCTTAATTTTTTAAAGATGACCGGGATCTCACCCTGAAAGCGGAAGACACTCATCTTGATCTCTTTTTTCTGTGACCGGGGACTTGAAATTAAATTAGCCTCTAATTGGCTTCCAATAAAACTTTCTTTGATGAAAATTGTTTTAGAGCCATACCTGCTTAGTAAGTTTCAGGTCCTGTTCTACTCATTTAATCCTCGCAGCAACTCTATGAGCTAGAGACTATAATTATCCCCGGTTTACAGATGAGGAAATGGGCTCAGTGCCTGAGGCCACGCAGTTTATAGGTGGCAGACAGGACTAAAGAACTGAACGAGGAAATAAAATGGAGTCACTCCAGTTAAGCTGCTACTCTTGTTTTAAGTAGCCTGGAAACTAAAACTTTTTAACTTTTCAGTCCTGTGTCAATGCCTGAAGATACAAACCTCCAGACGCCCCTCTGATCGCCCCCTGGAGGTCTAAGGAAAGCATGTCCATGGACTCAGCCTGCTGACATCGGTATCTAGACCACCAGTCCTCTAAAGACTTAGCATCGCAGACCAATGCAGAGGCGAGGCATGCGGTGCTGGGAGCCGGTCCATCCTTGCTGCTTGACACAGTCGCTGCAGGAAAGAAACATCTGCACAGCATATGTTTCAAGGGACCTGGCATATAAAGCATATTGTTCTTAATATGTTTGCTCTCCTTAGTGCCATGTGTTTTAACCAAGGTCACCTCTCTGAGAAAGGTTGTTTCCCCAGGTGGGGATTTTTCCCTGAGGTTAGGGAGGAGATACAACCCCTTAACTAAGTGCCAGGCGGGTAGTTAAGCTACATAATCTTTACTCCCTGGAATGGAGATAAGAAACGCCCTAACCTTTGTAATAGAAATTGACAGGATTAAAATCGGCTGGTATAAATACGGATGTAACAAGACAATAAACATCAGATCCTCATCACATCCTCATCAGCTCCTAACCAGAACGTAGCCAGAGAACATGGCAAAAGATCCTGGACAGAACCTGGCTACAGAACTTCACTGGAGAACCTAGACAGAACATGGCAAAAGAAACTGGATAGGACCTGGCTAAAGAACCTGGTGACTGAACCTGGCTGGAGAACCTGGAGAACCTGGCTGGAGAACCTAGCGAGAGAACATGGCACCAGAACTTGGTTGGAGATCCTGACCAGAACTTCGCTGGAGATCCTAGCCAGAACTTCGCTGGAGATCCTGGAGGGAGAACCTCTCTATGCTGATGAACTGAACCCAGTTTCCATGTCATTCATTCTTTGCCGACTCCGTCCACACCTTTGGGGATCCCTGGACCTGCTGGGGTTGGACCCCAGCAATGTGGGACTGATTCTTCTCAAGAACATACTTTTTACCGGAAGAACCCCCACTTTTCTTTCTTCTGCAGAACACTGTAGGTCTTGCCTAGTCGTGTTTCCGGTTTGCAAGCCCTAAGACCTTGAATAAATCTTCATCATTTATTTCTAGCCAAAGCCTCCTGATTCACTGACTCTTGGTGGACAACTGGAATCCAGGAACCTCCGAACCAGGATGCCACCCTACCAATTTGAGACGCATGGATGGTAACATGAAATGATTTACAATAAGAAGAGATCCACTTTCGTGGGGAAAATAGTGGGTTTAAGCTCCAGATTAGCCTTTATTTCAGAAACACTTCCTTATACTCCGATGTGTTAGGCGCCATTCCCTGTCTTCCCCATCACACCACAGCCACATGGCATCTACCTGCCTTCCTTCTAGCCTGTACTAATATCCTCTCCCATGGCACCTGGAGCAGCGATCACTGAATGAATGCGTAAAAGAACCAAGGAACGATCAAACAAAAGTGAATTTCCACAAATCTACTTACTCTCCAAAAACGTTAATTTCCCAACGAGTTCTGTGCGTCCTGGAGGATAAGCAAAACACCCAATGGGGTGCAGGGAGAACCCCTGAGCAGTGCTGTTTCTACTCACTGACATTGACCACGTGGACTGACTGGCACCCTCACTGTTGCCTGTGGCAGACAGCGCACAGGGTCCTCGCACGGCTTTCCTCGGTTCACCGGGGCCCTCACCTGTTTGCTTTCCAGAGTCTGTACCAAGTTGTAGCTGACCTGGGCCACCTGAGAAAGTGGCTGTAGAAATTATATTTTCAATTTTTTCTGAAATAACCCTTACAGGATGGGCTTGAAACGAGTCTTACACAGGACAGCAAAACATGCCAACAATAATGGAAGCACGGGTGAACAGGAAAATAGTAGAACTGGTGATGTTTTTACCATTTCTCATGTAATATTTTTCTCAGGCACACCATGAGATATAACTACAGCAAGCTAATCAGATCTGACAAGAAGTTGGAAAAAAAATCAAAACAAAACAATGACAACAAAATACCCACTCTGGACGTATCAAAACTTAAGATTCATATCCGCTATCCTTGTGGTCCTTGCCTAAGTGAGCATCATGCCTTGGGAAACTGGCTAATAATGTTCTCACACAGTTTATAAGTACATATATTTTTATTCACAGCATAAAAAATGGGGAGCTCACTGATCTAGAACTTTGCTACTCAAAGCCAATCTGCAGAGCAGCCCGCCCAGCATCACCTGGCCACGGGCGAGAAATGCAGAGTCTCAGGCGCCGCCACGGACCTACTGAACCAGCGATTGCCCTTTACCAGGATCCCAGGCAATTCACGGGGCACATTTTTGTTTGAGTAGCACTGCTTTAGGACACACTTCTTCAATGATATCAATCCCAAAAGTTCAGCTCTTATTGATAAGGTTAGGCAGATTTCTCTTTTGCATTTTTTACCTCATAAACGTATCATTTCTAACATTTGATATAAAGTGTTCTTCAATACTATTAAGAAACTATCCCCATACATCAAAACTCCAGTGAAATAATACACATATAACTGCAGCATCATCTGGAATGCCGGTATACATAAAATAAACGTCTAGGCTCCCGTACAATAAAAACCATCCTGCCACACCTTAATCATTCTGATCCCCGCCTCCACTTACTTTTGTTTGATCATCAGCTTTGAACACGTAGCAGATACTCCGCCTACTGGCCGCATCATCCTTAATCAGACAGGCGAAGTAGCTCGGGTCGTGACTGTTGTGGATCAGTTTGTGAGCGTGCTGAGGCTTACACTCGAAGATGCTGGAACAGATCAGCGGATCCCACTGCTGAGTCTTCTCTGGCTCCGGTTCACATCTCAGTCCAGAGGGCGAGACGCAAAGCCGGACTTGCTTGGTACCGGGTTCCTTTTTGGAGGACTGCCCGCTGAGCCGGCGCACCTCTGCCACGACCCAGGGCAGCATGGGCATGGTGGTCAGGGAATGCACAGGCAAGGAGCCCACCAGCTGGAGGCTGAAGGCCACCCAGGCCTCGTTAGGGAACGGATGCTTCCTCGCCGTGAATGTGATTGGTTCCATCTTGGGAAAGGTCTGGAAACTCAGCAACACCTTCCCATGCTCCTCGATGGTAGACCCAGCAACCTATTTGACCTGCTCCTGGTGCAGAAGCCTGGGGGAGACACAGAGGCATTCAAATTTAATGAAGTCACAGCAAAAGCTCCTTTCAAAGGGTTATTATTTCAGAAGAACTTAAAAGTCTGAAACCCAACATGGGCTGGTGAACACACAAAACAATATACAGTTGATGTATCATATAGAATTGTACACCTCAAACCTACATAATTTTATTAACCAATGTCACCCAATAAATTCAGTTTTAAAAGCCTGAACCCCAAACATAGGAAGAAATGGATATTCGTTCAAATACGCTGCTCTGCGGAGAAAGAGCATTCTTGAAATTGCATTTCATATAAAATCTGAATATGCCATAAATGTCACACTGACGGTGGGTTACAAAGATCCCACCGGGAAACTCCTATTAAAGTTAAGCTTCACAGAGCCCACAAAGGCAGGCACTATGAAAAACAACATAACGCTCCCAGGACAGCCTGAAACCCTGTCATGTTATTTAACATATGCTTCAAGGAGTTTTTTAAAGATAATCATATTCAGTACTGGTAACTCACCCCCACCCCCACAAAAGAAAAAATTATCAGCTATTCATTATCATAGTCTGCTGAACCAGACTGGTTTTAACACCTTATCTATCGCTTATGATACCACTTAAAGTTTAAAAGTCTCTCCCTGGCATAGTTCAGAGATTCTGAATCACAAACTCAAATTCTATTAACAGGTACTTGGTGCCCATTATGTTCCAAACACTATCACAAATATCGTTTTGTTTTATTCACGTAAGCCATCACCCCATTCCCGTCCTTATCAGTAGAGGATGTGGCTTCTACCAGACTCAAACTTTCAACTTCCATATGGGTGATTTTCAGCAACCATATCTGATACATCCTAACATCTGCTTGTTCCATTGGATGATGAAACCCTTCTGTTCAGAGCTGATTGGTCTACAGCACCTCAAGCCCTATTACTCATTTGCCCCTGGATAGTCATTCTCCCATGTATTTCCTGAGCATGTATACACATGCTGAGGAGGAACTCGATAAAGATAGGGGCCACGTCTATCTGATTCACCATTCTATCCCTGGTGCCTGGCACAGCGCCTGACTCAGAATAGGTTCAATAAATATTTTAAAGTAGTGAATGAAGACTCTTCCATCCTAAAAATAAAGATATTTCCCCTTGACCTCAAACCTCCCCCAGCCACAACTCTTCCTTCTCTACACAAATTTCTTCAAGATAAAATCTACAAGGTCTCCACTTCCCACTGTCCATCCACAATATCTGGACTGTGACTAGAAGCACATTGCTCCTGGTAAGTTCACCCACATGCTCTGGTTGTGAAATCCAAAGGGGACTTTTTAGTTCTTAACTGTCTTGTCCTTTCTGATGAATTTCTCAATGTTGACCACTCCCCTTCCTGCTTAAAACTTGTGGTTCTCTATCTGAACCTCTCTGGGTTGCTTCTTTTCAGATTCTGTGATGACTTTCTTTCTCGGTTCCCCTCATTCTACCTGCATGCTCTTGGTTGTTGACACCTAATATCTTGGTGTCGACAACCACATTCCAATAATCCTGCTGCTGCTGCTAACAACTTACTTTTATTAAGTACCGGCACTCTGCATGTGTTATTTCATCTTCCTAACACCCTTCACCTCCAACCCTAGTCTCAGTGAGAGACTACTATTCTTGCCACTTTTCACGGCCTAGGAAACTGAGGCCTAGAGAGCTTGAGTCATTTGTCACAGGTGACGTGAGAGTCCACACCTCATTCTCAACCCCTCCTCTTGAGTGCTGCACAAAAATGCATCTACCACACACACCCTGAGGATTCCCAGGGTTCATCTCCCATTGAACCTCAAAGAATTCCAGATCCGTACAAGCCATTAAATGGTTCTATCTGGGTAGCCTGTAGGCACCTCAGTCTCAACTTAGTTATTTTAAAACTAACTCAGTCTCACCTCTCCCCTTTCTGCTTCCCAAAACTTCTCTTCCTTCCTATAAGTTATATCTCTGTGACCAGCATCAATGTTTATGTTATTGGCTAAGCCACAGCCAAGGAGTTGTTGGGATCCCCTCTCCCCAAACTCATATATTGAAATCCTAATTTTCAATGTGCTGATTTTAGGAGGTTGGGCCTTTCCGGAGTGATTAGATCATGAGGGCAGAACTCCCATGAATGGAATTAGTGCCCTTATAACAGAGACCCAGACAGGTCTTTTGTCCCTTCCACCAAGTGAGGGTGCAGAAAAAGATGGCATGAACCAGGAAGTGGGCCATCACCAGACACCGAATCTTCCAGCACCTTGATCTTGAACTTCCCAGCCTCCAGAACTGTGAGAAATAAATTTCTGTTGTTTATAAACCACCCAGTCTATGGTATGCTGTTATAGACTAAGATGAATCATTCAGATTCCTTCTTCATCTTACCACTACTTCTAAGACATATTTAAATATTTCTTATCTTTTCTCAACTGGAGTAAAAGAGTCCCAACCTTCAATCCCTCCTTCACATATTTCCTAGAGTAATTTAACAAACACACAAAATTGATCACGTCACTCCTCTGCTAATAATTTCTTAATAATTGCCCCATAACATCTGAAGTCTTCTACATGGTATATAAGGTCTCTTTGGAATATGGCCCAACTATATGCTCCCCTCAAGCACCCTCCTTCATGCACCTTTTGGCTCTGAAGATAGAGAACTAGTTATGGTTCCCCATAGGAGATGTGATTTCTCATGCCGCTGTGCCATAGTGCATACTGTTCCTCCCTCCCGGGAACACAACTCCTGCCACAAACTGTAAAGGCTCTGAGATTTTAACAGTTAGCCTGCCACAGTTAGCCTCCTGGTAGGAGACATGAGACTCCTGAGTCTGAGGCAAAGAGCAACAGCACATTTCATGACAGTGTATTTCCTGTCTCTTTTCCTTTAAACTATAGCTTCTCTTAATGATGAGGACAGACTTGAAGTTCACATAACCCCATAAATAATGGTCTCTCGTGCCTTTTTCCTCTCTCTAACCTACAGGTGAAAATAGCATTAAATGTCTGGGTCAGTGTTCACTCCGGTAACTGAATCTGTTTCAAGTTCAACTGCTGACAACTGCTAATCCCAAGACATGATTAAAGAAGTACTAGAATTTGTCAATTCTAGTACTGTCAATCATTGTAACTGAAGCAGTTATTAATATGATGGCAACAGCATCTCAGAATTACTTTTAGTTTTCTTATTTAGTTTTCTGTACTTAATGCAAAAAAAGTGCAGAATTTAGTAATTTAAGTCATTTGGTAAATAATTAGCCATTAATCAGTTCTGCCATTTCATTGACAAAACTACTAGTATTTAATGGCCTAAACAGGGGTGCAAAATCATTTGCTCTGGCCCTGCCAAGACCTAAGGGGTGAGTTTGTTAAATGTTTGACCAAATACAGCAGGCTAATTTTTAAGGTGATAATTTTGTATGGCCCTCGAATGATGTTATAAATATCCAGATGACCTTTGGCAGAAAAAAGGTCCCCCACCCTGGCCTAAAGTCTTCACTTTTTAACCAGCTGGGATACATTCTTAGTATCTCTGTAAAAAGTGTACTGGGCCTTAATACTGTTTACAAACTATCAAATAAGTTCTATCTCACACACAGTCATAATTATTTATAAGCAATTCAGATTTTGCTGATATAAGATTCATGGTAACACATTAGGTAACTGTTTGTATTACTTTTCAATAAAAAGTTCCATGAAACAGATGAACTATTCAAAAAATACTAATAAACCATCAGATTATTTTTTTTAAACCATCTCAGTCCACATCATTTGCACACAACCTCTGACCTTTAAGCCTCAGATTCCACCTATTCCAAGAGGCCTCTCGTGCCTCAGGCCCTCAGTATGATCTGCTATCCTAGTGAGCTTGTTATATTCCTGTGTGTACACGCCCCATCATTTACAGAGACCGTCTGTATTCTACACAACTCCTACCTACCACAGTCCATAAACATGGTAGCTATCCGAAACACAGAGATGCTTTCATTAAAACAACTTCAATAATCTTGTTAGTGGATCCTGCTAAACATATTCCAGGAAGCCTGCACTTAGAATCACACCATTTTAAAGCTAGAAAGGTCCTTTTAAGCCATTCAGAAATCCCCCTCATATTTGAAATGAGGAAACTGGGTTCTGGAGAATAAGTGGCTTGTCCAACTTTGGTGACAGAATTAGGACAATCCAAGTCCCTGACTCCCTTCCAAGTGCTGCAAAGAACCTCAGTTTCCTCAAGAAAACAATTTCAAGTGTGCAGTTAAGAAAGCAAGTTACTTAACTTCTCCAAAGTTCAAGTTTATTCTCGTAAGTGTGGAGAGCGGCTACAGCGTTTGGACAGGTTCAAGCCTGGGACTAATGAGAGGGCACGATCCTCTCGTGGTAAAGCCACCTGTAAGTCCCAACACAATTATAGCCAAAGGCTAACGTTGTAAGCTTGACCTTATGGTCCAAACCTGTGGTCCCACGTGGCTAAGTGATATGGGTTGTGGGAGGTGCAGCAAGTAAACAAAGTTTGATCCAGTGTATGTAATTGAGTAGATTTGAAACCCACGAGAACATTGAAACCACGCCCTTACTTTGCCTCGTGGAATCTGGCTATAAAATAAAGACTCAGCTTTCAGGCTATGGCACTGTCTCTCCATCAGAGAGAGCAGCGTCCCACCTAGACCCAGCTTTCTTCTCTTGTCTGTCTTTCCTAAATCCCTCACTGCCCCCTCTCAGGTTCAGCACATGGCGCCCAACGTGGGGCTGAGTATGAGGAACAGGGGCCTGAGTTCAGGCTCACCCATGGCCGTGCCGGCTCAACACAATAAGATAATGGAATAGGATCATCTCCAAGTTTTCTTCTATCTCTAAAATCTGGTGAATCTAATTTCATAACGTATGAAACCAAATGTCCTCAGCATCGTGTGGGATGGAAAGCTACTCCCATCTTCCTGTCAAGAACATAAATGTGGAGGAGGTACATGAAGGAAAGATGGGGTGACTGATCAGGAA